CTATTCTATGTCAACAAGGGGGTGAGCCTTACCTTTTCCTCAAGGAAAGAATTTCTTCTATGCTATCCAGTAGCGAGATTTCCCATTTCATTAGGAAAAGAAGTGGTACTTCCTCCTGCCTTAGGCCTATAATGGGGGGAGGTGTTTTCCCATTTTGCCAGAAAAAATGGTGTAGCTGCCCGTGGCATGTCACCACTGCATGGGGTGAAAGTGGCCAGCCCCTTACCGTGAAGGTGGAGATGAAGAGGCCATGGTGATGAGTGCTGAGTCCTCAGTGATGTAATGAGCCACTGAGGGTATTTGATGATTGTGTCATTTCAAAAGAAGCCCCAGATGTGGGGTACCAGCAAACCGCTCTCAGCACAGTGGGGATGCTGACTGCAGGGAGTGGAAGACCCCACTCAAGGATGGCTCACCTGAGGCTGACTCTACTTCAGCCTTCTGGGCAGTCTGTCTTCCCTGTGTCTCCACAACCTGGACTTGGTGGGAGGGTTGGAAGGCTGTGTAAGGAGTATGGTCTGGCCAGAAGTCCAGAGGAAGATAGAGCTCCAGGGACCCATTCATGGGTGGGGTACTGTGAATGAGGTGGGTAAAGTATTAGGGTAATGAGGGTACAAGGGTGAGAGGGTTCACTTTTTCTGTATGTGTGCATGTCCTGATGTATGTGTATATGTATGGATGATTGTGGCTGTGCATGTCTTTTAATCTGTGAATGTGTGTGGGTGTGCCTATGGAAATCTATATCTATGTCACCTGCTACATGAGTGGTCTCTGAGCATGTATGTTTCCTGGTGTGGAGATATGAATGTATGTAGATGTATGTTTCCTGGTATATTTCTATATAGCTGTGAGTCAGTGTGAATTTTCTTGTGTATCTTTCTTGGTGTGAATGAGTCCTTATGTCTTTGTATGTACAAGGTATGATCAAACAATATGGTGAATGTTTAAATTTAAAAAATATATTACAGTAAAAGACACATTGTCATTAATCTCCCTCAAAATACTCCCCCTCACTTTAAACACATCCCATTATTCTTGCCACTTTCGGAAGCAGTTCTGGAAGTCCTTTTTTGTGAGTGTCTTTAGTTGCACTGTCATGGCTCTTTCGATGTCCTGAATCAATTCAAAACATTTACCTTTCATGATCATTTTGACTTTGGGGAAGAGCCAGAACTTGCAAGGTGCCAGATCTGGTGAATAAGGTAGACGAGGACACCCCATAATGTTTTTATTGGACAGAAATTGCCATACCAGAAGCCATGTGTGACACAGAGCCTTTCTGTTGTGATCACAAAATATGGTGAATGCTGCTGCCAAGTGCCATCCAATGGAAAGGCAGGGATCCTCAATACAGAAAGCAGTGCAATGAAATATAGTAACAATGTGTGACAAGTTTCAACTTGTTCGGTGCAGTCAGTCAGCTGTGAGCTGTGGTTGAGAGAAGGTGTGTTTTATTTATTTATTTAAAAAATTTTTGTTGGGGAATTGGGGGAAGGGGAACAGACAAGTTGCTGTCCTTTTGTTCTAGTTGTGGAGGACGTTGCTTCACTGGCCCAAGTTGGCACCATCATTGTGCTCTTCCCAGGCAAGGCAGATCAGTCGCCGGCTTCTGGACAGCTGCACATGGCGGCTGCTGGCAGCTCATGCTGGCTGCTGGCTACACACGGTAGCCCATGGCAACCCACTGCAGCAGTGGCTGCAGCAGAGGCTGCAGCCTACGCAGTCACCGGAGGCTGACGGCAGCCCAGCTCCAGGTTGAGCTGTTGTTCAGCATCTTAGCTGTAGAGGGCAGTGTCACTGGCCCTCATATATGGGATCCGAACCGGGGCCCTCTGGAGTCCCAAGCCAGCTCTTAATCAATGCACCACTTGGGCAGCCCGAGAAGGTGTGTTTTAAAGTGTTCTGTAAATCATCCTTCATCATGACAATGCTCCATGTCACACATCACTTCTGGTATATGACAATTTCTGGGAAACAAAAACATTATGGTGTGTCCTCATCCACCTTATTCACCGGATCTGGCACTGTGAAACTTCTGGTTCTTCCCCAAAGTCAAAATGATTCAGGACATCGAGGCAGCCACGACAACACAAGTGAAGACACTTACAAAAGAGGACTTCCAGAACTGCTTCAGAAAGTGTCAGGAGCGATGCAATACTTGTGTTCGAGGTGAGGGGGGATTTAATGGCAATGCGTCTTTTACTGTCATACATTTTTAAGTTTAAACATTCACCATATTGTTTGATCATACCTCATATGTGACTATGTGTATGTGGTATGACTTGGCATGTGCACCTGTATGCTCGGGGATGTACATGAATGCAGATGTGTGTGTCTTGGTATGTGCACATATCATGAATCATGTGTATGTGTGATGTGAATAGGTGTTTGTGGTGCATACAGGTACCTGTGTGGGTGTGTGTTCCTCTGTCTAGGGTCTGTGTATATGAGATAATGCATGTGTGTCCACGGATGTGCGTGCATGTGTGTGTGTGTGTGTGTGTGTCTATGTTTGGGGTTTGTGTGTGTGTTCATGACTATATCTATGGCTCTGTAACTGACTGAGTTGGGAGATATTGGTGTGGGTGCTGTGTGTGAGCAGGGTCTGGAGCCCCTCACCTGGCACTGCCATCTTGAAGTCAGGAAGGGCAGGGAGGGCCTGTCTCCAGCAGGTGCCAGGGCTCTCTGTCAGGCCTGCCTACACTAAGAGCCTGCCTCCAGGCCTTCCACCCTTCTCTTGATCTTGTCATTCTGTTGTCCACTGAAGCCTGGTGGAGTGAGGCCCCTGGAGCGCAGCCTCCCACAGTCCCCAACTCATTTCCTGGGTTGGGAGGGCAAAGCTAGTGTCCCAGCCTGGCCCAATGAGGGGCCTTTAGTCACTAGCTTTGCCCACTGGGGATTTGGGGGCCTGGCATATGCACAAATATGTGTATACACAGAGTCTGACATACATAATACAACCACACAGTCTGACCCAGACATACGAGTACAGATTCTGATATACACACATAGACACACAATATAAGAATATATTCACAATATACATAGGCCCATATGGACCCAGACACACACCCGGCTACACAAATACCATCGGATCCACTCCCCAACCCAGATGAACTGTCACAGGGTCCCATAGAGCAGACCAAGCACATGCGTAGAAGTCACTCATGATAAACACACCTTCCCCAATGCAGTACAACACAACACGCAACGCAGAAACCCAAAGAGACATAAACGTACAATACACAGTCACCCAGACCCCAGTACAGATACAGCCAGACCCAGATGCATGCACACACACAGGCACACACAGAGAAACACATGCATGAACACACACATTGATATAAATACAACACAGACCACTCCCAGACACACAGATAGATTCATAGACACAACTGAAAAAGACATACAGCAAGTAAAATCATATAAAAGACTGAAAAAATAAATGGTTGAAGGGAGAAGATAAAGTTATGAAAGATTGGAAAAAAAAAGAAAAAGAAAAAAACGCATACAGTCAGATGTTGACTCCAGCATCCAGACCCAGGAAGACAGGTAAACCCACGAGTCACACTTGTGGAGAGTCCTTTTCTCCCCAATTCATACAGACACATATTTGACCCAGACATCCCAGAAATATGCTGATGAACATACAAATGTGAAGACACACGGGCCAGCTACACACACCAGGGCCCCCAGTCTAGCCGCCCTCGGATAAAGGCAGACAGGCAGACATACCCCTCCACCGCCTCTTGGGTGTCTGGATGTGGGGCTCAAGACTGATGGGAAGGGGGCTCACCCAACAGCAGACAGAACATGTCCAAAGTCACCAACATGCTGGCGGTGCAGGAGTGCGGCAGCGGATGGGACAGGAGTGACCTGCGTGAGTCCCCTGCCACAGGCACTGGTACGGGATCACCAGCTCCAGCAGGGCCATGACCGTATGTGGTAAATTTATGGACTCCATCGGGGGGCGACAGGGTGGGCGCGCCCACCCAGACCAGCGTTAGAGCTCGTGAGCCTCTGGGGCTCACAGCGAGGAGAGGCAGGCCTGGATGGTGAAGACCACCGTGCGCAGGGACAGGATCCCAGTGTAGGGCGTACGTACTTAGACTACTTAGACGACCAAGGGGGAGGGGCCTTCCCGAAGAAGGGCGGGGCCGAGGAAACAGCTTCTCTCTTTCCATTAGCCAGGCGTCCCTATCTCCCCATCAGGGACTTGACCATGTTGAGGTAGGGTCTTTACAGTGTGAGTGGGGCCTGGAAGAAGGTAGGGCGGCACAAAAGGGGCGGGGCCAAAGGAATAAGACAAATTGGTCAGACCCACAGGCCTCGAAGTCCCCAGGAATGTCAGACTACGGATGGGGATGGATTGAATGCTTGGACTAGGAAGGGACGCAGAGCGCTGCAAAGGTGGAACCCAAGAAAGGAGCGAGGATTTTAGATAGGAGACAATAGAAGGGCGGAGCCTGGGGAGAGCAGTGGTATTGGACTAAAAATGGGAGAAAAGTGGGTGGAGCAGGAGAGTGGGCAAGACCTGTGAAGCTGATGACTGGGGAGTGGGCAAGGCCTGGGGAGATAATTGCAGGGAAGTGGGCAGGGCCTAGGGAGAAAGGCAGGGGAAATGGGCGGGACCTTGAGTAGGCGGGTCCTGGGAAGCTGATAAAGAGGAAGTGGGCGGGGCCTGGGGAGAATGACGGGGGATTGTGTGGGGCTGGGGAGTGGGCAGGGCTTGGGAGACCGGGGTCAGCCTTGGAAGGGGCGGGCCCATCTTAAGGTTCTGCGGGTTACAGTTACGTCGGAGTTGGTGATTATCCTTCAGGACCCGCGGTCTCTGTGAATGGGCATTTCACATCTTGGGCGATACCCTGGTGGTCATTTTCTGGCTGAGAGCCATGGATGGGCAGGTGAGAAGCTTTCCCTCTGTCAACGGTCGCCCCGCCCCGTTGGGTAACCTCGCCGCGCTTCATTGGTCGGGCACCGACCAATGGAAATTCGTCTCCGGGTTCACTGTCTTCCAAGGTCCCAGCAGCAGCGTCCGCCCGGCCCCGCGTGGGCGCGGAGCTGCTTGGAATGGGGGCTGTTGAGGGTCTTCCGTCCCACACCTGCTAAGGCCCTAACTGATACGGCTCCTGCCTGTCTCCCCACTCCCTCGTCCTCACGCTCCTTCCTCTGAGGGCTTTGCGTTTGAGGTAGAATATCTAGAAGCACGTTTCCTTTCAGCCTAGACCCGCCTCTCCCTACCAACTCCGTGTAGCTCTGTACTGAGACGCCTGGTCCACCAGGTGGCGCCGCAGCCTACACCCAGAGCATCCTCAAGGGAGGGAGGGCCAGGCCCCCAGAAAAAGAGCCTCGGTCCTCTCTCGGAGGTGGTGAGTCTTGGGCGGTTTGAAGGATGGAGCCTGGGTCTTCAATGGGGGAGAGGGCTGTGCTCCTTTGGTTGTATTCCCTTGTGTTTTTTTAAAAAGATTTTTATGGGGAATTGGGGGGATGGGAACAGCGCTGGGGAATTGGGGGAAGGGGAACAGACAAGTTGCTGTCCTTTTGTTCTTCTGTCTAGTCGTGGAGGATGTTGCTTCACTGGCCCAAATTGGCACCATCATTGTGCTCTT